AAAAGAAAGCACAGGGATGGAGCTTGCCATCAGAGACAGACATCTGGGACAGGATGGCCCCGACCCCGGTATCCGAGGCATCGACCTCCATGGTGAACTGGGCCAAAGGATCAGGGTAAACCAGGATGGGGGCTTTTGTGAACCTCTCCTTGAGGAAACGAAAAGCCTGATCGGCTCCAGGAGACCAAGTAAAGATTGTCTTGGTGGAAGTGAGGGCTGAGAGGGGCGAGGCAATGACACTATAGTCCTTGATAAACACTCTGTAGAAATTGGCAAACCCAAGGAAGCGTTGGAGGTCCTTTCGGGTCCTGGGTGTGGGCCAGTCGACCACAGCTTTGACTTTGGCTGGATCCGTCTTCACCTGTCCACCCTCAAAGATGAAGCCGAGGAAACTTATGGACTCACGGTGGAACTCACATTTTTCTGCCTTGACAAATAAACGGTTCTCTAGGAGCCGCTGGAGGACCTGGCGGACGTGCTGCCGATGTTGTTTGGGGTCTCTAGAGAAAATGAGGATGTCGTCTATGTAGACAAACACAAAATGATTAATGAAGTCTCTGAGTACATAATTTATGAGGGCTTGGAAGACAGCTGGGGCATTAGTTAGGCCGAAAGGCATGACCAGATACTCGAAGTGGCCTATCGGTGTCTTGAAAGCCGTCTTCCACTCATCTCCCTCCCTGATACGGACCAGATGATAAGCGTTGCGGAGGTCCAGTTTGGTGAAGATTGTGGCTCCACGTACTGTATCAAAGGCTGAAGCCAGAAGGGGTAAGGAATATTTGTTTTTGATAGTTATCTGATTGAGGCCTCTGTAATCTATGCAGGGACGTAGTGTTTTATCTTTCTTTTGGACAAAGAAAAAACCTGCCCCAACAGGGGAAGATGATGGACGAATAATGCCCGCTTTCAGTGACTCTGCTATATATCTCTCCATAGCTCCCTGTTCAGAATGAGACAGTTTATAAAGACGGGCTGACGGCAGGGGAGCCCCTGGGAGGAGATCGATTGAACAATCGTAGGGACGATGAGGGGGGAGGCTTAGAGCTAGATCCTTGCTAAACACACGCCGGAGGTAAAGATAATCAGATGGAACTTGGGACAGATCAGGAGGAACCTCTGGGGAAACAGGGTCTATTGAAGAACGGGGAAGGGCTGACTGCAGACACGAAGCCAGACAACTGGTGCTCCATGTTTCAATTCGTGACTCCCTCCAATTAATTAGAGGGTTATGGGCTGCCAACCACGAATAGCCCAAAACAACAGGAGAGTGTTTGGTGGGAAATACAAAAAAAGAGAGGTCTTCATGATGATTACCAGAAGAAATGAATTTAAGGGGAAGTGTCTGATGGGTAATGGTGACTAGGGGGCTGCCGTCCAAAGCAACTACTGAGACTGGAGATGGTAACAAACGAACAGGTATGTGAAGTCTGTTAACCAAGGCTGGATCAATAAGATTCTGCTCTGAGCCTGAATCTATGAGGGCTGAGACCGGATGTTGTGACTCTTGGAAACAAATAACAGATTGTAAAAGAAACCAGGGAGCGGGGGTCTCAGAACACGCGCCCGCCAGTATCCCCTGGACTACTGGCGGGCTGGATCTTTTGGGCGGACGGGACAGTCAAAACGAAAATGCCCAGAGGTGCCACAGTAGAGGCACTGTTTAGCCCTCATACGCCTGTCTCTTTCTTCCGGGGACAGGTGAGCCCTGCCTAGTTGCACGGGTTCGTCCAACGGTTGGCTCTCTGGGAGAGCCGAACGGTAACTAGGAGGCGTGACCGAGGAGGGAGGGGCGAGGCGTCGAGCTGGAAGAGGGTCCTGTCCCCGTCTCTCACGGGCTCTTTCACGGAGCCGATCGTCCACCCGAATGGCTAGACCGATCAGTTCCTCTAGGTCTGATGGTTTGTCTCGGGTGGCTAATTCATCTTTTAATTTTTCGGTGAGTCCATTAAGAAACGCCGCTTTAAGAGCTAGGGCGTTCCAACCTGTCTGAGAAGCCAGGGTCCGGAACTCGACCGCAAAGTCGGCTACCGAGCGGCCTCCCTGTTTCAGAGACCACAGTCTCTTAGCAGCCTCCTCCTCGCTTAACGAGGAGGAGAACGTTCTTTTGAACCGAGCGAGGAAGTCAGCATAACTAAGACTGAGGATGCTCGTTTCATCAATAAATGACTCCGCCCAACTCAAGGCTCTATCTCTGAGGAGACAGACAACATAGGAAATCCTCCCAGCGTCATCTGGAAAAGACTGGGGGGAACGACAGAAGACTAAGGAGCACTGCAATAAGAAACCCCTGGACTTACTCAGTCACCAAAGAAAGGTTCTGGAGAAGGCGCGGACACCCCGACACCAGAGGTCGAAGGCGGCGCGATATCAGCGGGAGGTTGGACAGCTGGGGGAGAAGGAGAGGTAGGTTGATTCATGCTTAATTGTCCTCTTAGGTCCTGAATCTTGTGAGTCAGTAAAATCATGGCTTGACAAAGTTGTGCCTGCTGTTGGCTCATAGATTGTAATAGAGCCTCATGCTGTCCTAGCAATAACCCCTGGTGGGAAACTGCGCTCCGAAGTTGCGCCCCTGAGTCAGGCTGGTCAGTTCTTTCTGTCATGATAGAAAAGAACGACTCAGGATCAGAGCAACCACGGAGACAGACAGTTAGTTTTAACTGGTTTATTGTAAAGTGCTGGTAGACAGGTGATGACTGGTTTGGTATCTTCTGGCCTGCTTGGAGGGCGAAGGAGGTGGTCAGAAACAGCCTGTGGCAGTAAGAATGTGGAGAGCTCAAAACTCACAGAGTGGGAGGCTTGCCCGGAGCCAGGGGGGTGAAGTCTGTGGTCCGGTGCAATCCAGCGGTTCCCTCAGTCTCTCTTGTGCAGATGGTTTTTGAGGGTGGACAGGCAGGCGATCAGAGGAGTCCAGCTCCCTGGCTTGTGATTTCTCTGGCTTGGATTTCAGGTTCTAAGGAGGAAAAGACAGAGACAAAATATCAGGTCTGGTTCGGATGAAACTCGGAAAGTTTTGTTGGGTCATGTACCACGCTGGAAGCGAGAAAGAACTGACGCCCTCCTCCTGGTCTCTGCTCCTTAAGAAGGGCTGAAATCAGCAGTGATGAGGAGCACCTGCCAGTCCACCCTGCAGAGAAGAGAGAGAGAGAGAGACAACCCATCCCTGAACCCAGGCCTGGAGCATGACAGCACCGAACGGTTCGGACGGTTTTCATAAATCGTCCCATCCCTAATATACATATGTACATTTACACACGGCAAAATCCTTCATCATCTTTGCCGTCGAGAGGCTGCAGCCATTTCCCGAATTCCTCGTTTTCCAGTCGCTTTTGTTGAAATTAGCATTTTCCCATTCTCAAGCTTCTTCTCCGCCTCAAGCTTCTTTGCGGCTTTACGATCAACCGTAAGCAGTTCCGCGCAAACACGCAGAACCAGTTACATCTGATATAATATATCTGACGAAACTGTTTTTATAAACTTTTTTTTTTTAAAGCTACAGTGTGTAATAATTACAGGGATATACAGTCAGAAATGTAATATATTATACATAACTATGTTATTTATCATAATCTATGAGCTCAGCCTCTTAACCTTAATATTTGCGTTGCCTTAGAATTCGTTATTTATAATTACATAGGAGCGGGTCTCGCAGCCATGGAGGCAGACATCTTTGCGCTACGGCAGCGCAGAGCCAACAAACTAGCGATTGCGAGATCGCCAAAACGTCAGAACGATGTAGAAGAAATAACGGGTATATTTATTATCTAAAGTCTACATGAAATCTATACCCTACACAGACTAATGAAATACTATCTGTAAAATTATCTATGTAAACAAACCTCATCACTTGAGAAGGTAGGTGATGCGGACGTCGTGGAAGACATTTTGTCCCGTAACGCTCGCCGTACTGTTGGGGGGGAGAAGCGGTGGAGGGGAGATGTTCATGTTGCTGCAGTCTGCAGTCTGACCGCTAGATGTCGCTAAAAGTTACACACTGTAGCTTTAATAAAGCATTTTAAATGCCAAGATAATCAAATTTAATTAATTTTAATGCCAATTAAGGCCTTAATTTCAAAAACAATAACTTAACAACTTTTAATGATTTTTAATGAACCTCAGAAACCCTGGAGTATCACTGCTGCCACCATCTGTATTAGAGGGCAAATAAAATGGTAGGGGTGGCCACAATGGTGGCCAATGATTGGCTAAGGGTGGCCATGGCCACCTCTGGCCCCCCATTTACACCAACCTTGTCCACCTTCTCTTGGGACTGTAACCTCAGCTCCTCCGCCTCCTGCTGGGCTGCCTGTGAAGCAGTGCTGAGCTGCAGCTTCAGCTCACACAGGATCTGGATGTTCTTCTCATACTCCTGTAGCTGCTCCTCCTCTGGCCTGCCTCTCTGAAGCCGGCCTCCATCAATGGGTTCGTTGTGGAAGTACTCTACCAGCCTCAGCTGCAGCTGCTTGTTTAGTTGGTGTGCCTCCTCTCTCTCTGCAGTAAGCTCCTGCAGGAGCTGCTGGAGGTCCTCATCCTGGACTGAAGCTGCAGCAGATGATTCTTCCTCCTCCTGTGCAGGACTCTCTCTCTTTGGGGTCTCAGGGTTTAATCTCAGTAATTCCTCCTCATTAGTCTCTAAAACACTCTGCTGTGGTTCAGAGATGCTTTTAATGCCACTGCTCTGCCCTAGCCCACAGGTGGCCCCTTCTTCTTTAATAAGTTTCCTGTTGTTAGAAAGTTCTTTTTTATGATCTGGAAATACCATTTCTACTGAGACGTTTTCTTTTTTAATTCTACTAACATTAAGTTCAGAAAATTCGTTTTCTTTCTCAATAAAAAAAAAAAAAAATCTGCTAAACTGCCTGGAACTACAGGTTAGTTCTGTGGATACTAACAGCATTCGTTTAGTTTCCGTTGTCCTGGAAACTGAGCTCAGCAGCCAATCAGAGGCGGCCTGGCGCATGCTCATGAATATTAACAGAGGGGCACGAGCTGTGAGGCTCGCGCCGCGCATGCGCTAACTGGAGCCTCCTACAACAAGAAGCAGCGACCAGGCAAGATGGCGGACCTGGGGAAGAAGTACTGCGTTAACTGCCTCGCAGATGTCACCAACCTGCGGCTTCGCTGCACCGACTGCCCGGAGATCGAGCTGTGTCCGGAGTGCTTCTCAGCGGGCGCTGAAATCGGGAACCACCGCAGATGGCACGGTTACCAGCAGGTCGACGGCGGGCTGTTCTCACTGTGGGGTCCAGAGGCAGAGGGAGGATGGACCAGCAGGGAAGAGCAGTCGCTGCTCGATGCCATCGAACAGTACGGATTTGGAAACTGGGTACATGATTCTGTTAACATTTTACTGACAGAAGTCTGCCTTTAAAGTGCTTCATATGACCAACAGGCAGCAGCTTTAGTGGTTAAAAACTTAACGTGGACTAATTTTTAAAGGTCATAAAACAATGTTGTTGATAAGGGTTAAAGGAACAGGAAGGCTGAATGAAAATATTTCATTCTCAGTTTTATTTTAGCTTTCAAAATGACTTTTAAAGAAGATTATGCAGTAAAAAAAATGTGTGTCTAAGTTACAGCCGATTATATTGCCATTGCAAAGAATTGCCCAGCCCTAACAAATACAACTTACCCAGTTGCAACATGTTTATTAACATTTCGGTCCGACACAATCTGTGTTCTTCACTAGCTTGCCAACTTTAATTCCTGTGTGATATAAACAGTCGTAACATCGACGTATGACAACATTACTTTTCAGTTCAATTCAGTTTATGGCGCCAACTCACAACACATGTCATCTCCAGGCGCTTTACAGTTCACCAGATCATCCAGTCAAATTGATTCAGAGTTTTCTATCTAAGGAAAACCAGTTGATTGCATTGACTCAAAGGCAATCACTCACACTAAGCATGCTTGTAGCGACAGTGGAGAGGAAAAACTCCCTTTTAACTGGGAGAAACCTCCAGCAGAACCAGGCTCAGTGTGAGCGGCCATCTGCTGAGGCCGACTGGGGTTCAAGGGGACAGAAGCAGACGTAGAAAAAGCAGCTCTAAAAGGCGTCCTCGTCCAAGAAACAAACAGCCAGGCAGCCATGTCAGAGGATGAAGAGAGCACATCCAGCCAGTCACAGTCAGAGAAACAGGACTAGACTGAAAAACAGGCCGATTTCCAACATCTAGAAATAAAGGTGGCAGCAGCACAGCTGATATTTCTCTCCAGGATGGAGTCAAAGCCAATCAGGAACAGACCAGATGAAGCTACTATGAGAAAAAGCAGAGAGAGCAGAACGTTAGAGATTGAACTAACAGATTCTGCAGAGTGGGAGAATAGAGATAGATCTCAGAACCTCAGGATTCATGGAACCACTTGGCCGCCACTCCCCCTACTTTACATCTAGAAACTTTCGACTAGGGATGCATAATCGGCCCCCTATCGGTATCGGCCTTAAAACTGAATATCGGACATCGGCCACCCCACCGATATTTAACCCGATATTTGATCAGCTTCTGAGTTTCTAAAGTAAAAAAAAAAAAAAACTACTACTACTTCCTCAAAAACTTATTTTTTACAGACTTAAAAACTTGTAAAGACGAGGTAAAAAATATTGATACATTAAGATATCACAATATCTTCATATGCTGATATAATGCCATTTAAAACCACCATATCAATCTCTTTTACTAATGAAATATTGCTATATGTTATTGTTATGCTACGAAATTTTGCCATATTTTTATATGTTAATATATTGATGCAGTATCGATCTATTCTATTAACAAAATCTCACAAGAATTTGCAAAATATCACGAGAGTTTGTAACAGAACGTTGAAATTTCACGAGATTTTGAAAGTAAAATAAATCGATACCGCGTTTTTAAAAATCAATTTGACATTAGCATATGAAAATATATTTGAGTATATTATTTTTCAAAGTGTCAGAAATGGATAACAAAACTGCTATTTTCAATGACTACTTATTTTTGTCCAGCTTTAACATCGGTATCGATATCGGTTATCGGCTACATGAGTTTTAAAATATCGGATATCGGTCAAAATCCCAATATCGTGCATCCCTACTTGCGACCTTTGTTATCATCCTGGAAGGTGAATTGTTTGACGACTTGTCCTTCAGGATCACCGTGTTTGTTTCCTGTCCCTAACCTAAAACGATAACATTCCCACAGCATAATGAAGCTACCACTTTGTTTTATAGGATGGTTTGTCTGTTCAGTATGGCTGCAGCTATTGATTATTTTAGTAAGTGATTAATCTATCAACTTTTTTTGTGAATCTAAAAGATCATTTTAGTAAATAAACAGTTTGAAATTTAGAAAATAAAATTACTGAGCATTGTAAATTGATTTTTAAATTGCAAAACGTGAACGAATATATATATATATATGTATACGAATACATTTAGTTTTATACGTAAGTTTTCTTTTATTTATAGTGTCTTTTTAAATTGCAATTAGTTATTGATTAATACATCTGGCACAATGAATTGTTAATGTACAAAGATTTCCACATTTTTTTCATTTATTTCACTGTGTTGTCAAAAAATATTAAGCCTCATGTTGGGGAAAGATCCTCTTAAAACAAGAGAGAAAACTTTTTTTTTGAGTGGCTGCTTATCTATTAATTGTTAGTCTATCGATTAAAGTTGGTCAACTTTAAATTCCATAAACTTGCATCCCTAATTGGTATCAATGTAACCCTAGATTGTAATAAAATTATAGCTGAGGTTTAGGATTCAAATCAGCTGTGTGATGCACTTCAAACATCACTGCTTTTGAAGAAACAGTTCCTGAATCTAAGGTTGAGTTTCTTCCAGAAGAATTCACTTTCTTCCAGATAAGTGGAATAAACTTTTTTTCCCCCCATTTCTTTCAGAAGAAACTGGAAGAAAGTCCTGGAAATAACTCGTATTTTGTAGCACTGGGAAAGTTCCGTTGAGAAATCAACTCACTATATCCACCAGGCTACTTAAGGAGAAATCTATATCAGAATACAGACAGGGAGACAAATTAAGAATTGTTATAATTAAATAAGTGTATGTAATACAAATCTAGATGAATGAATAATGGTCACAAAACTAACAGTAACAATCGTGTAACAACCGTGTTGAAACACTGAATTTGCACATAAGATTAAGCAGCAATATAGCAGCAAAATACTAGTGTTGCACAGATACCAGTATCGGACGGGGCCCCGATACTGCCCTAAAATGGTGGTATCGGTATCGGCGAGTACCAACAAATAGGGCACCGATACCATTTTGAGAGCCATAAGTTTATTCAACTATTGTCACCCACTCCTGGTAGGCAATAAAAAGTTCTACTGGATTCACTTTGTATTAGATTTTTTCCTGCTTCACAAAGGTAGGCAGCAGCTTGACAAAGCCATGATGGCAATTATTTTACATTATTATGGTATCGGTATCGGCCGATACTGCACAGCCAGGTATCGGGTATCCAGGCCAAAAAATGGTATCGGCGCAACACTACAAATTACAGTTCAGTTGGATGTGCAGTGAAGCTGCAGGGAGGTTCTGGCTTCGATTCCCGGCCTGGAGTCTTTCTGCATGGAGTTTGCATGTTCTTCCTGAGCATGTGTGGGTTCTCTCCGGGTACTCCGACTTCCTCCCACAGTCCAAAAACATGACTGTTAGGTTAATTGGCTTCTCCAAATTCTCTTTATGTGTGATGAGTGGTTGTTTGTCTCTGTGTTGCCCTGCGATGGACTGGTGACCTATCCAGGGTGTACCCCGCCTCTCCCCCGTAGACAGCTGGAGATGGGCACCAGCAACCCTCGTGACCCCTGCAGGGATAAAGCGTGATGGAAAAATGGAGTACATTTCCGTAGTCCAGCTCATTATCGCTAAGTAGCATTCTGAACCAGAATACATTTTTAAAGCCTTTGCCACAACAAGACGATTCCTCAACTTTGTGTGAATCATACTGAAGTTGGAGAAAAATTTCTTCTGCTATTTATGCTCCTAAACCACCCTGGTTTACAGATATTGAACCCCAGCTCAAGGTTATTACTGGATTTGGGTCTTCTTAAGGCTAAATTTTCACCAAAAGAAACAGAACTTTCTAGTAAATTGGACCTTCCAGGTTTCTTCTGGCCGGAAAAGAACATGGAAAAATCCTGGAAAAAAAAAAACACCCTCCGGAAGAAACTTCCAACCCTGCCTGAATCTGCTTTGTCCCGCCAGGCAGCACAACCTGTTAGTGTTGATTGAGATGAATTGAGCTGTTATGCCACATTAAGGCCAAATGGAAATGTTTTTTAAAAAGCCTGACATTGATACAATCTTTAGGTTTTATTGAACCGTGAGCCGTAAAAATCGATGTACCAAGAAACAAAAGCTTGAAAAATTCGATTTGATTCGATTCCAAAAAAATTTATTTATCCCAAAGGGAAATTAGAAGTTGCTATAACTCATTGGCTGTTATTTAGTGAGTTGTCGTAGGTGTTGATGGCTGTGGGCAGGAAGGATCTTCTGTAGTGGTCTGTCTCGCACCGAATCAGTAGAAGCCTCTTTCGGGAGACGCTCTGTTGTTGTTCAGCAATCTTCTGAAGAGGATGCTCGCTATTGTCCATAATGTTTGTACATCTTGTCTAGGGATGGAACGGTTTATGAAAACCGTCCGAACCGTTCGGTTCGACTGTCTCGGTTCGATTCACGTGTGTTGCGTTCAGTTCATGCGCTGCTCCTTCTTCTCATAGGCGAAGCGTTTACACTCCAGAGCAGAAGGTGGCGGTACTGCGACCAAAGCCAACTACCAGTAGTAAACAAGAAGAAGAAGCAAAGCAGCGTAGCCGGGCGTAGCAGAAAAAAATCAGTTGTTGTGGAGAATTGTGTGGGTATGGCGAGTGGGAAAGAACAGGAGTTGGAAGACGCTCCAGCAGCACTTTATAGGTCTGCTGTATGGGACAACTTTGCATTTAGAGTGACTTACGATGACGGCGGAAAGAAAGTTGTGGATAAAAGTGCAACAGTGTGCAAGCATTGTGCAACACGTTTTGTTTATGCTAACAGCAACATGACCAACATGTCATGCTAACAATCAACATATACCGAACCGAAAACCGTGAAAACTGAACCGTGGATTTTGTGAACCGTTCCACCCCTAATCTTGTCTACTGCATCTCTGTGAGACAACAATTTTAATTTCTGAAATGTCTGACAACAATGATTTAAGTTAACCCATTTTTTTCTTTCCAGTTTCAGTTGCTTTTTCCACAATTCCATTTTATCTCACAATAGTTTGTCTTTTTCTTAAAGGAGGACATGGCCGCACACGTGGGACCGTCCAGAACCCCGCAGGAAGTCATGGAACATTACGTCACCATGTACATCCACGGCAACCTGGGTAAAGCCTGCATCCCAGACAGTATTCCTAACAGAGTAACTGACCACACCTGTCCAAGTGGGGGCCCCCTGTCACCCAGTCTCACCACCCCGCTGCCCCCTTTGGACATAAGCCTGGCTGAGCAGCAGCAGCTCGGCTACATGCCTCTGCGTGACGACTATGAAATCGAGTACGACCAGGACGCCGAGAAGCTCATCAGCGGGCTGTCGGTCAACTACGACGATGAAGATGTGGAGATCGAGCTGAAGCGAGCTCACGTAGACATGTACGTGCGAAAGCTAAGGGAACGGCAGCGGCGCAAGAACATCGCGCGGGACTACAATCTGGTTCCGGGGTTCCTGGGCAGAGACAAAAAAGACAAGGAGAAGGAGAGGCCTTCGGGTTTGCAGGTCGTAGGGGGTTCTGTGCCTGTGGGGGGAGCAGGAGCATGTGGTACCACCGTCGGATCGACCTCGGCGACGGCAGTGGGGTCGGGCCCCATTCCGAGTGCACCCAAGAGAAAGATCACAAAGGAGGAGAAGGAGCAGCGGGTGAGGCTAAGGGCGCTCTGCCAGTTCATGGCTCATCGGGAGTTCGAAGAGTTCTTTGAGAACATGCACAAAGAACGAGTTCTGAGGGCCAAAGTGCGCGAGCTGCAGCGGTACCGGCGCAACGGCATCACACGTCTGGAGGAGTCTGCTGAATACGAAGCAGCTCGTCACAAAAGGGAGAAACGCAAGGAAAACAAGAACGTGGTGGCGTCCAAGCGAGGCAGCTCGGGAGGCACCGGGCTCGGTTCTGGGATGGGACTGGGCGGCGGGGGCGGCGGAGGAGGAGGCGTCATGGGAGGGCTCGGAGCCGGGGGTGGGATTAAAGACGAAGGTAAAGATGGTGAGTTTTCCGCCATCGAGAACCTGACGGGGTTCGAGCTCCTGTCAGATCGGGAGAAGGTTCTCTGTAACTCGCTCAACCTGAGCCCGACTCGCTACCTGACTGTCAAAACCATGATCATCAAAGACCACCTGCAGAAAAGGCAAGGCATCCCGGGCAAGAGCCGACTGCCCAGCTACCTGGACAAAGTCCTCAAGAAGCGAATCCTAACCTTCCTCACGGAGAGCGGCTGGATATCCAGAGACTCCTCGTAGCGATCCGTCTCTGGTCGGGGATTACTCACCAAGGATTGCCGTTAACCGTCTGGACGGAACTGCTGCTTCTCACCGACAGCTTTTTCCAGTTTCCTCTTTTTCACTTTGTGAATATGTACAGTCCAAATAAAAATATGCCCCGGTGGTAAAAGAACTATATTTTCATACAAAGTCTTGGAACAACAGCTGAAAAGAAGCTGGGCTGGTATGTTGGAAAGAAACAACCTTTGAGTTTACTGATGTGCTTCCAGTTGCAATTTATTGCTAAGTGGTGCTGATTTGCAGTAAAGGTGTTCTTTTTATTAATGTAAGAGCTATCCCTAAACAGCATTATAGAAACAACAGAACATTCTGTTTAATGCTGAACAGCAGTCGTTCTGGGTCTAATGTTGGAGCCATGTGTTTAAGGAAGCAGGCAGAAATAATCAGCTTTGTCTTCACCTTTTCGGTTGAACATATATTTAAAATCCAACCAGTTGACCGCAGCTGTTTGGTTTTTAAGCTGTTCTACCATAACATGAATGACCTACTGCTAAATTAGCACTGAAATGATGCGTAGTAAAAGGTTTTAGAGAAATTGCTTGAAGTTTATTGTTTTATCCACTAGGGGGCACTGCCTATGCAATGTTTATCTAAATTGCAGCTTGGTTGAAAAGCAATTAGTTGTAATCAGAAGCGATGGATGTAAAGTTAAATTCGAAGCTGCTGATGTCGGCTTGGTACATTTTCCTGAACGTTACGCCGTTTGGGAAGTAGGACAAGCATTATCGGAGTCCCATCGAGAAACTGTTGTGACCATTAATTAAAAGTTTCCTGTATCCAAACTGATCCCAAGAGATCTCAGAAAATTCCAGAGCCACTATTCGGATTGTTGGAAATACAAAAGTGCCTAAATCCAGAGCAGCATTCATCTCAAGTTTCTTGATTTCTAAAATCTTTAAAAAGCGTAAAGTATATTTTCCTGTTTAGGAACTAATTTAAAAGGAAAAAACAAGGCCCCCATCGCCACACTACTTAACAGAAGGCATCATGAGGTGCTTTTGCTAATTAAATTTTTTTTTAACAGAGCTACTGGTGCCAAACTAATCTGCTGTCATTAGTTCGTAAATAGATCTAGATATCTCAAACATCCCAAAAGGCTGAGGCAGACACAGAAAGGGATCTATTACTAGATCTGCTAAGATTCTAGGTCTTCTACCTGAAACTCAGATTGCCTTTAGAGAAGTTGGAGGTTTCTGTGTGTTTTGGAAAAGTGTTCTTTTAAAGGAGTGTGATAGACTGAAATCACCAGTTTTTTTAATAAAACCTTCTGGTATTCCATGATGCTATTTTTTCTGACAAAGCTTCCTAAGCTTTTGGAAGAGAATCAGGCCCGCTGCTCTGGAGCAGTGATTCCTTGGTCCTTTTGGACCCAGTGTTTGTTTTAGGTGCGACTCTGTTCCGGCCTACGGGATTCTAAAGATGGCTTCTCCTCTGGAGCCATCGAGTCCTGCAGAAAACCTTTCAATCATGTATTCTTTTAGCGAGGTGTGTGGCAGCAAGGAGACGCCTAAAACATGCAGGACTGGGCTGCCGGAGGAGCAGGGACCTCCTAAGACTGCGGCCACATTAAACAGCTTTGGCGCTTTTCTACAGAGCTAAGTTTGGGCCATAAAGTTAAGTTAGAAAAAATTTTTTTAACTGAAAATAAAATTTAAAAAATGAATTCTTTTTATTTATTTTTGGAAAATACATGTTTAAAGCTACTTTGCAGATTCTATTTTTTCTCAGTTTCTGATATATATTTTTGTTTAGGTTAAAATTGCTGGCCTCTGAGCATGGGGGTGGGGCTTAAATAACGTACATGGTTGGAAAAAAGACCGTTTAGGTATCTGGATAAAATATTCCTAACTCTCAGGAACCGTGGGAACTTAAAACACAACCTGCGTCACATGCAGCCAGTATGGCGGTTCTTACTCTCTACCATGAAAGAACTGGAAATGTCAAATACTGACAGGAAATGCTGCTTAAACTTAGCCTTATAATTTTAACAGATCGGTGAAAACATCTTTTAAAACGTACGTAAACAAGATATGATTGACGTTCAAAGAGGAAGACTTTCTTTTAGTTCCCACAGTTCCTGAATGCAGCATTTGGGAAATTTTTGTCCAAGGTGTCAATCATCATTCCACGTCGTGTCATCGAAGCCCCGCCCCCCACAGCACAGTTCGAAACGGAGAGAAAAACTAATGAATCTGAAAATTAGTTTTAAACATTTTTTGTCCATTTTGAGCTTGATATTTTTCAGTTTTAATATTTATTTTTTTTGTTCAAAAACACAAAAGCGTTTTTAAACAAAAAAACGTCTTAATTTAGCTCCATACTTTTCCATATAATTTTCCGTCGTTTTCCTTCTAAACCCACTTGGATTTTTTATTTTTCAGCATATTAGGTATATTTTGCACTGATGGTGTTTAGCTGAGCTTTGGCGGTTCCTCTTTACTCCCGTACGGCTCTAATTACTGTGCCTGGCGGCAGATTAATTTCTGCTCCCTGTCCAGCCTAGTAGGCGATGCCTAAAAAAGCTAAAATGTCAGGTTGAATCAAGTAAAGACAGAAAGTAACCAGATTTTCTTTTTTAAAGATAAACATTGATTTTACAGGCATTCTTTTCTCCAGTGACTTTTTTTTTTACACATTTTTATATCTCTATCTGTGGTAACTTGGTTTTATTTCTCTAAAACTGCCTTTATTTCAATTAATTAAATATTATATTTCTGCAAAATGCAGAGATGGTTTCCCCGCCCACTTTTTACTTTCTTCCAAAGTGGGAGGTTAGTTTTCCTGAGTTTTCTGTGTCTAAAGGTCAGAAGCTGACCAGCATTATCGGGTAGTTCTTTGCATATTAACTGATTTGGATGTTATTATTTTCCCCCTCTAAGCCAGACAGAACTAGTCCTGCATCTCAAAATGTAAATGAAACATTTTTATCCGGCAACCGTAAAGCTGAAGCTCTGCATGCTAAATGTTGCCATGTCCATGCCATGTTGTACCATATCTAATCTGCATCTAATTCTGTGGATAATTAGTCATTTTTCGTTATTTTGGAGCATGTTCCCTTGATGTAATGAGACCGTAAAAGCATTGGTTGTACTTTGAATGTATCTCTGTTGCAAGAAGATGTGAAGTGTTTGAAAAAGTGTTTTTTTCCCCCCTTCAGAACAGCTTTCAAATGAGAGTTTTAATAGTTTAAAAAGACCTGGAGACTATCTTTTACTAAATTTTAAATTGCTCTGATACACGCAGAGGTCAATGAAATCGCCTTTTCCCTTCTGGACTCGGATACATGTCCAGAAACAGACTGGTTGGAGGTTGGAAATAAAAAATTATAAATACATTTTAAGTTTGGAACCGTCTACATCTGCAGTTGTTTTCAGCTGATGACGGAAAGCTTAAAGTCTGAGTTATTTATTGGATTTTTTGAAGTTCTCACCCAGTGTGTCTCTTAAGAAAAAGTCAAAACTACATGAAAATAGTGTTGAAAGGAGAATTTATGGTTACTTATGTGAACCAAATGTAAATAACTGTAAGATAAGAAAAAAGTTAAGTGTACAGTATTTTGTGTTGTGTACATTTTTATAGGTTTTGTATTGAAAATAAAGATTTTTTGACAAACGAGGATACTTGTTTTTTCTAGTCTTATTTCTGTTGTATAAATTAAGATGGTAATACTGTAGAAATGGCAAATCCAGCAGAGATTTTGACTCATTTTAGACTCTGAATGAAATACTGGCCAGGCCAGCTGGATGCGTACCTCCTGTTCTCATGGCTGTGGAAGAAAAGCTGAATCATATGGGTAAAAAAATAAAATAAATAAATAATATATATATATATATACATACATACACACACTACTGTTCAAAAGTTTGGGGTCACATTGAAATGTCCTTAATTTTGAAACTATACATTGCTAATGTGGTAAATGACTATTCTAGCTGCAAATGTCTGGTTTTTGGTGTAATATCTACATAGGTGTATGCTCATTGGCTCAGAAGGCTAGAAAAACCTTGTGCAAACATGTTCACACGTCTGAAAACAGTTTAGCTCGTCACAGAAGCTACAAAACTGACCTTCCTTTGAGCAGATTGAGTTTCTGGAGCATCACATTTGTGGGGTCAATTAAATGCTCAAAATGGCCAGAAAAAGAGAACTTTCATCTGAAACTCAATAGTCTAATCTTGTTCTTAGAAAAGAAGGCTACTCCATGCGAGAAATTGCTAAGAAATGGAAGAGGACAGCACATACAGGCTCTAACCAGAGTAGAAAAAGAAGTGCGAGGCCGCGTTGCACAACTGAGCAAGAAGATACAGTACATTAGAGTCTCTAGTTTGAGAAATAGACGCCTCACAGGTCCCCAACTGGCATCTTCATTAAATAGTACCCGCAGTAGCCTGTTTGCGCTGTCCTCTGAAGGGAGTAGTACACACCGTTGTAGGATATCTTCAATTTCTTAGCAATTTCCCGCATGGAATAGCCTTTATTTCTAAGAACAAGAATAGACTGTCCAGTTTCAGATGAAAGTTCTCTTCTTCTGGCCATTTAAGCGTTTAATTGACCCCACAAATGGAAGCTCAAAGGAAGGTCAGTTTTGTAGCTTCTGTAACGAGCTAAACTGTTTTGCACAAGGGTTTTCTAATCAATTAGTCTTCTGAGCCAATGAGCAAACGCATTGTACCATTAGAACACTGGAGTGATAGTTGCTGGAAATGGGCCTCTGCACCTATGTAGATATTGCACCAAAAACCAGACATTTGCAGCTAGAATAGTCATTTACCACATTAGCAATGTATAGAGTGTATTTCTTTAAATTTAAGACTAGTTTAAAGTTATCTTCATTGAAAAGTACAGTGCTTTTCCTTCAAAAATAAGGACATTTCAATGTGACCGCAAACTTTTGAATGGTAGTATATATATATATATATATATATATATATATATATATATATATATATATATATATATATATATATATATATATATATACCTAACATTAAAATGCATTTTTCGTTAGATTCTAGAATAATTTTCATATGATTATTTTTTTCAAATAATAAAATGAATAGAATAGAAAATCCCTTTAATTCTGGAATAAAAAATAAAATGAGCAAACCATTTTGAATTTAAAAACACTGAAGTTATTAGGAGTTGATTCAGATTTTTCACTAAATTTGACATTATACTCTTAACATGAATGGTTTCCCTGAGAGGGCAAACATGAGGGCAATAGGACGACTAAGAGCATAGCTTTAATGTTAAAGGCAAGGCGGGAGCTGCCAGTGGCTGCTGCCTGATTTCTAGATTCTTCAGCAATCAGGAATCAAAAACCCCAGAATAAAGACTTCAAAGCCCTCAGTGTCTCTGGATTTTGCAGCATAGGTTAACCCTTTATAGGGCACTTGGTGAAATACTTTGAATCCAGGACAAGACCTTATTACCTTTGTAACGCTAAAAAAATATGGCTATTTTGATGGCAAAAATGAATGTTAATGTAATAACAAGAAACGCCAACTTGCCAGAATATATTAAGAAAAATAACCAAAGTGCTTCTATGAGAAATTCATGAAAAACCCTCTGAGAGTGAAAGAAATAGGCATTAATGCTGATACTGGCACTTAGAGTTTTTAGTTTAGAAACCTAAATATAATAGTTAACTATAGGCTTATTACATTTTTAACTTTACTTTCTAAATTTTCAATTAGCTTTTTACCTTTTTACTTTTTTTTCAACTTAATTTCCAGTAGGTAATATATCATTGAAGGGCTCATCTAATTGGTCAAATGCCAAAATAAGATCTACAGCCATGTAGCAGCATCTTTGCTGAATGGATATAGATCTTGTGTTTCTAGACGTCACTGAGGGACGAGGGGGACTCCATTTGTAAGGGATATGCAAGTAATGAAAAATGGTAAATGCGCTATTAAGGGTTAAACACTTCAGCTTCTGTTCCAACTGTAGCTGCATTTGAACTGTTAACAGAACTGCGAAGCTGGTAATTATTATAAAATCTGCGTTACATTGAATTGATACTAACTGGTTAGAAGTGAGACTGAATTCTATTCAAAGTTTAAGCACAGCTGTGTGCTTCAGGTTTGCCCAAAATGTAACTTTCCAGCAATAATGGGATGTTGAAAAAGTATGAATATAGGAAAAACCTCACTTGACAAGTTTAATGGAAGAACCTACAATGATTTTGGCTATCTATATTTTACTACAACTTTTGTACTTGTACTCCTTACTCTTTTGCAATTGTCTCTAATTTCTACTCATATATTTTAAAAATAGACTTTTAAGTTTTTTTTTCTATTTAAGCTCATTTTCGTTTGTATATATATAAAAAAAAAAAAAATCCATCAAAATAATGAAGTTTCATCCACACAATGAATTTCTTTGTGGTTGGACTCCGTGATGCACAGAAATAAATATTTGTTCAACATGATGCAAAGTTGAGCCTGTTGCTATTAGTTATAAAACTAAACTAATTGTAGAGAAATGTTCCTTTAATACAGTTGAGCAGTAATCAGTATAATAATATATAAAATTCAGTATAATGTTTAAAGCATATTTCCTTTATTTCTTCATATTTCCTTTATTTCCCTTATTTCTTCCTGCATTGCCTTTATACTTTAGTTTTAAAACTGCTACTTTTACACTTTTACTTGAGTAAAAAGCTTAAGTTGATACTCTTAACTTTTTAAAAAGTGTTTTTAAACAGTAGGATTTATGCTTCTACTTGAGTAAATAAACATGAACACTTTTAGCAGCTTTTATGTGGATCAGAGTCTACATCATCATGGAAAATTCAAAAATTCATTCATATCATTCATTCAGTTCATTGGGGACTACCAAAAACTGAAGCGCTTCTTTTTAAACCATCTCCATCTGGAGTTCCATGAAGTATTCAGGATGCTGTGTCACATTATTGAGAATCCTACTAAAATCCAAATGAACATATTATGTTCACACCTGGCTATTCTGAGGAACACTGTGCTCTTATTAAAACTTTACAAAGTCCAGGGATGTAGAGCATGTTAGCAAATAACTGGTGGTTCCTTATTCTAAGGTTTATTAAGGCTTTTCTTTGTAGTGCAGATTCTAATATCGAGCTATTTATCCAGAATCAGAAGTTTATTTTTTAGGTTTATCCTCGGTGTGCAAACAAACGAGTTTGAAAGTGTATTTCTATTTGGGTTTAGCCTGATAATGCCTCCTTAATCTTGAATCAAAGCTAAGGAGGCATCCTTTTTGATAAAGCTTATACAGTGTCTCCGGTTATCCAGAGCTATGTCTATAGATATTCTGCTTTAGGCTTAGGCTGCTGGAGGACATAGGGACCCCTTTTTCATCATTCTGCTTCATTCTATCTCTATTCTTCCTTCTCTGCAGGATTAGTTAGTTCAATCTCTAACATTCTGATCTCTCTTTTTCTCATAGTAGCTTCATCTGGTCTGTTTCTGTTTGGCTGTGACTCCATCCTGGAGAGAAATATCAGCTGTGCTGCTAGCCTGGTGAGACCATCCTGATCTTGCGAGCTTTCAAGGTTTCACTCGCAGATCAGTCTGGAGACTCTCCGTTAAAGTAAATTTGGAGCCGTTCACCAAACGAACGTCCAATCAGCGTTGGCTTTGAGGCGGTTTGAGGTGTGACGCAACGAGAAGCGCGACAGTTCAGTCTAAAGAACATGGCGGCTTCAGCCGATGAAACTAGCGTTAGCGTGGCTATCGAGCAAGTTTTATCGGAATTACAGAGCATTTCTTCACTGAAAGAAGAGCAAAACACTGCTCTGGAGGCTTTTCTCAGAGGAAAAGATGTTTTTGCTCTTCTCCCGACTGGTTTCGGCAAGAGTAGCCTGGCTTGTGGTTGTGTTTTCGTCGTCGCTCTGTTAGTACGTCATATGCTTCGTTGATCTGATTGGTATATTTGGCCCGTCTATCACCAACATAGGCCAATCAGCTAACCATTATTTTCGCCCCTTCCCAAAATTACTTCAACGGAAGGATTTGCTCCGCATATCCATCTGGCAGTCAGGTTACTGTGCTGCTGCCATCAGCACGTTTGTTTATTGATGTTGGAGCTTAGCCTGTTTTTCAGTGTAGTCCTGTTTCTCTGACTGTGACTAACTGGATGTGCTCTCTTTCATCCTCTGATATGGGAGCTGGCACAGAGCTCGTCTGCCTGGCTGTTTGTTTCCAGGACGGGGCCGCCTGTGGAGCTGGTTGACTGTTGCTTATTGTATCTCTGCTTCTTTTTCTTTGTCTGCTTGAACCCTAGTCGGCCTCAGCAGATGGCCGCTAACACAGTGTTTCTGCTGCAGGTTTCTTCCTGTTAAAAGGGAATTTTTCCTCTCCACTGTCGCCACATGCATGCTTGGTGTAAGGGACTGCTATAAAGTCAATGAGTCGATGCAATCAGCTGGTTTTTATGTTGTGAAATGAATTAATGTCTTATAGAAAAATATTGTATTTTAGTATTGCTTTGACCCATGCTGCGTGTTATAGTGAGACTTTGATTTTTATCTTCACCATCATAGTCTTGTTGTTTTTATATATATTTCAATTAAAACTGAAACTCTCAAAGCATTACATCTATGTCAGAACCAAAGCCTCCTCATTAAAACTGTCG